AATTCTACGGCTACACCCGCAGACTTACAAGACCTTAACACTATCTGACTGCTAGTGAATTCTACAGCTACACCCACAAACTTACAACACTCTAACACTATCTAGCTGATATTGAATGTTACGACTACACCCGCAGACTTACAACACTCTAACACTATCTGGCTGCTAGTGAATGCTACGGCTACCCCCCTACAGACTTACAACACTCTAACACTATCTGGATGCTAGTGAATGCTATGACTACACCCACAGACTTAAAACACTCTCTGAACTCGTGCCCTGACTGGAATCCCCAACCTGATTCCCTAAGGCATGCTATCACGCAACCCTGTTGCATCAGTATCGCACCCATGCTCGTGATCGAAGTGTCACAATGACCCACGAAATCATCTATACCTGCAGGCAAGGTGAGAACTGGAGTCTCACACAACCGTTGTCCGAGAGTCTCGAAGGTTGCCCGCTGCTCAGGCCCTCAATAAAAGGTCACCAACTTCTTGGTCAGTCGGGTCCAAGGAACTGAAATCTTGGAGAAGTCCTATATAAATCTCTGGTAATAGCCCACTAGACCTAGGAAACTCCGAATCTCAGCTGGATACCTCAGAATCTCCCACTGCATCACGACCTCTATCATGGCCGGATTGACTAGTATACCCTACTGGTTGATAAGGTGCCTAAGAGATTGCACCTCATGCAACCAGAACTCATATTTGGAGAACTTTGCAAAAAGTCTCTCCCTCCTCAGAATCTCTAGCACTTCCCTCAGGTGCTCTTCATGCTACTCCTCAATCTTGTAAAGGATTCTCAATCCTTCATTCCATTTAATGGTCGATCTGCTGGCAACCAACACTTACCACTGCTAATGTTCCCAAAACTAACCAGTTCCAAATTTGAACCACTATGGATGACTAATAGAACACCTCACGAGCATTACTCACACTTGCTATAGTGACTGCGTCCTAAGAACCTGCTTTAAAGGGAAACATCTTCGAATTACTACTTTAACATCCAAGGTATGCAGATGGCATATAACTTAATCATAAGCAAGAAAAATAATATATTAGAAATACACTTACTAACATCGATGCAGTACCATAGCAATAAAATCATTACAAAAGGAGAATTTCGATTACATACCAGTGATCTACTGCGGCTCGATCTTGACTTCCTGCAGAACGATGGGCGTTGGATCCTTAACTCTCTGCACCACCAAATCAAGACAATGATAGTTGAAATGACCTGGCTTGTGACAATGGAAACATATCTGATTCTTCTTACAATCCCTATGCATATGCCCTATTTCTCCACATTTGAAACATCTAAACTTGTGACAAGCAAACCCATGGGTTCCCCCACATTTGCCACACACCTCCATGCCTCCCTGATTCACAGCACCCAAATCAGCCAAGTTGGGTTCTCCGCCCTCTTCCAATCGTCCTGAGGTATATGCTCGCTTCTTTTTTCCGAGCTGTCCATCCAAGCCAATCCCCTATTCCCAAGTCACCCTGACTACCCCATCAACCGTCTGAACAGTCGTTTTCTGACCCTGAAACCTGGTGGTCATCCTATCAGTAATACACCCAATAATGTCAGGTAACTCATCGCGTATTGCTTGCGAAACCTCCACAATGATCCAATCATGTAGTGAACTCTCCTGGGGACAAGGTGCGTAACCCACCTCTGATCCCTGATGACAAGAGCTGATAACAGGACCCTATCTTCCGAGGGATCTCATAGATCCATAAACATTGGGCCCCAGCGGAACCCCTAACTGTGCGACGACGATCTCGACCCGAAAGGCCTTGAGGCGGCTATCCAAAAGCTACAAAATCACCTCTTTAATTGTAGCAAAGATCAAAGGAGTCTGATCCAATATACTACGTGTAATCTCGGCTGAAATAAACTCTTATATCTGCTCCCTAAGCCGCTCAGCTCCTGAACCCAAGCATGATCTCTCACCTGTACCAGAATTGCCCACTGGTCTACCCCGAAGCATCACCATATTGCAAGCATACCATAAACACCATCAGAATACTCATCACTACTGAGGGATCTCACACACTCACTACAACTTCCGTGGTTTTATCTCATCCCTTCTTGAATCGAGTACGGATCCTCTGCTTTCAGTAGTACAAGCCCATACTACCTTTCACATCTATCCGTACTTTCTAATGGACCAAACTCGCAATAAAATAAAAAGTTTAGACCTGTGGTGCTAGTCCAAACATTCTTTGACCAAAGTGGCAATTTTAAGCTAATCACAAGACCATTTGTGCAGTTTTGTCGGTATATAATATGGCATTCTACTTTGCACAGATCTGAAGTGGTGTAAAAGGGTATTTGGGATTTTGAAAAAATGTTACTTTATACAACAATTGGAAGCTAATCTCTTATATTTTCACTTGTAGATTATTGATCTAAGGAGTTTGGAGATGTTGATTCATAAAAAAGAAAAAGGTAGGAGCCTAATCTCATTTATTACTCCAGAAAAAAGGTAGAAGCTCATAAGATGCTCAAGGACTGTGCACATAATGTGCTTGTAGAAATGCCCAGGAGCCACGAGGAGAGTATGATGCTAAGGTAAAAAAATCAAATTATATAGAGTATAAAATAAGAATAAAAGTTTCAAGAAGTTGTAAAAGATGGAGCTAAGAAAATATTGCAATGGCATACATTTCTTATTTATCGCCACCTATCACTATTTTTATAAAATCTTATCTGAAAACCACCACTCACCTCCATTGCTGGTAAACAACCCTATATTATATTGTTGTTGAGCTTTTGTTTTTATAATTTGTTCTATGTTTGTAAAGTTTTACCAAGTTTTGTATGTTTTCTAAGGTTTAAGGATGGGGAAGATATGCAGGTATGTATGTTGTTGTGTTGCAAATCTCTCGGCATAAAGTTGTGTTTATGTATAAATCTATGCAGAAACTTTTTGGAGCTCTCATTCTTATTGTTTTGGTATGTTATTATAACCATATATCTTATTTTCGTTTTTTCTTTGTAGGAGATGACAAAATTAATAAAGAAAAGAAAAATGGAACACTCATTATTATTGTTTTGATACTTTATAAAAATATAGTTCCCTAATCTGTTTAAATCTGCATTTATTTAAATTTTGATATTTAAGATTTATTTCTTGAACTCTTGTAATTAGTTTTTTTCCCTTCATAATATTAGTTAAAGAAAGCTCTTAAGTTTTTTGTAACTTTTGGATCAATATGATTTAAGAATTTAGTTGTAATTGAAATAACTTTATTCAGTTTGTTAATTTATTTGCTAATTTTAAGATCTATGTGTTTATCGTGCTTAGTTATTTTGTTGCCAACATTTGTCCTTTTTAAAGTATAAGAACAATGAAATTACTCTATTAATGCTTCAAAGCAAAAAAAATAATAATAATAATAATAATAAATAAAAAATAAAAAAATTTACTTTAATATTATTTATCAATGGTTTAACATTTTTTTTTTGTTTATCGTTCATACATTACATAACAAAACCAACAGATTTAAAATGCAACCATTGATATTAATTTTGTTAATTATAAAATCCAAGAGTAAAAATGTATATGTTTTGGTAGTTTGAAGAAAACTTGAAATGATAAATAACTTTGGTAGTGTAAAGAAAACTTGAAATGATAAATACATAAATAAATAACATGAAAAACTACTAACAATGAAAATGATAATTTAACATCATAAACGTAAAATCAACTCCCAAGGAAATTATAGATTCATGTGGAGTATGATAGTTTGAATTAAAGCATCGATCTTTTTAAATAGATGATGGCTTTTTATAATAAAACTTTTTTGAAAATGAAAAAATATTGTTTTGAAGCTAGGAACAAACTATATCATAACCTTTTTTATAACAAAATTAATTTTTTTAAAAACATCCATAAATCTTAAGATCATAATATTATAATGCATGACGTGTTGGACTTGATGTATTTAATTTTTTTTTTTTTTTTTTTTTTTTATGATTTGAAATGTCTTTGAAATGAAACTAACTATTGCAAAGAAAATATTTACCGAAAAGAATTAATCGGTGTACGGTGTGAATATTCACTTAAAGAGCTTTCTAGCACAAAACATTTTGCCAAAAGGCTAAAACAAACTATCACAAAAATGAAACTAATCATCGAATCAAAACTATTTGTCGAAAGAAACTATCTGGCGTTGCCGCATCACGCGGGTCCGCTACTTGTGTGTGTCTATATATATATATATATATATATATATATATATATATATATATATATATATATATATATATATATATATATATATACTAGCAGTGTACCCGCGCAAAGCGGCGGGGCGTGTAAATTCTTTCGGTGATATGTTTCCTTTACAAAAATGTTATGTTACAAAAGAAAGTACATGTCGAAGACAAAATAATCAAACTATGTTTTTTATTTGGGAAATGAATTCATTTTTTGTTCCTGGACGGTGGGCTTTATAGCAGAGGAGGGAGCAAAGAGGTATATGCGATTGGAGGGATATTTGAATCGACATGCTAAATTTAAGAATATCTAAAAGGGTTCAAAATTTGAATGAATCCGAGATTTGAGGGAACCATATCAAATTGTTGAGAAATATAAGGAGATTTGATGATAAATATTTGAATTCAAAATATGGTTAAAATTTAATATTATTTTATTAATGATTAATTGTACTATCAGCTTCATCATTTGGACGTCTTAAAAAAATTTATTATTATAATCAATCTATTATAGAAATAGTTAGATTTCTTTTATAAGATAGTAAAGATATATATATATATATATATATATATATATATATATATATATATATATATATATATATATATAAACATGCGCGCGTTAAAATAAATATTTCATTCGTACCTTTATATTATCTTAAGAACTATTGAAAATTTTAAATCAAAAACCAAGAATGTGCTAACAGAATGTATCACTTTAGCCATGATTTAAAATGATAAATAAATCACTTTTAGTAGAAGTGTCACTGATATCAAACATTACAAGCATGGCTTCCAACATGTTCCTTCCCACATCCATAACAAAAATGCTGTCCACATCTGCAAAAAGAGACAAGTCGATCAGTAACATAAATAATCTTCTTCAAAATCACAACCTAAAGCACAATTCATAATATTAACCTGCAAGAAATGTGATGGCAGCCCTCTCGTTTTTCCACAATATAATTGCACCTTGGGCACCTCTTCCATTGTTTGTTCTTGGCAAGCTGCATCAACATTAGATCCTCTGGATTTCTCTCATCCTTGCTTAGGCTCTTAAACTCGTTGCAATCCATGTCTGAATGCCATGCCACCTTACACTGCGCACAGAACAATCTGTGGCAGTTTGGGCATTCCGACGATGTCACAGCTTCTCCACCATCATCCACCAACATGGCTGAGCAATCTTTAAACGGGCAGTAGAATTTCTGAGTACCCAGGATCAAAGACTCGCACAAGGCGTCTTCCCATCTTTCAAGTACTTCTTTTGGGACGATGGATCCACAAAGTTCTGGTCCTATTAGCCGTTTGCATTTTGGGTCAGGACACTTCACCTCCGCCATGTTTTCTTTAATCTTCACAGATACATGTTCGCGTATGCAATCAGAGCAGAACTGATGCCCACAAACCTTTGAATTTGAAAACATCTCTGAATGAGCTTTTGTGTCCATACAAATGCCACAAAAGCTCTCGGGTAATTGGGCTTCTTCAGATGTCTCCATTGGTTGCTTCCTCTTTAAGATATTTGGAGGTTGGGATGTTTCAAGAATTACCGAGGACGATGCTTCTGTTTGTGAGTTTTGCGATAATGATGATGATTCAAATTTTTGTGATGACGATGATGATGATGATGATGATGCAACATTTTGTGATGAAGATGATGCATTTGTTTTGGATACGGAAGATATTAGAGCCTCTTGAAGTTGTAGTTCCTGGGCGTAATTCTCATCGGAGATCGGGAAGATATCACCATCGGCGTCATAGAGAGCTGAGAAGTAGAAATCATCTACATCTACACATTTATCTTCATCTAAAGTGTTGTGTGCATCAGACTGTGAACTGCTAGCCATGTTCTTACGACTGATGCGCTTCTTTGTGCCCTGTAAAATTTGTATCAGAGATACTATTGAATGCGTAATATTAAATTCTAAAAGAAGTTTTGAAACATGAAAGGGTTTATCGTTAGGTGCTAGTTATACTGAAAGGTTTCCTTCACTACTAGAATATTTGGATTTAGCTACCAAAAATTTCCAACGATTTTGTTTTGTTGGAAATTTCCATCTAATTTCCTACACCCTTACAACAAAAGTAGAATCTAACAAAAATCCAACAAAACCCCTATGGAATTAGATACTATACAGAGTCTGTTGGAAGCCCGTTGGAAGTTTCCTACAAAATAGCAACGAACAATTAATTAATATTTAAAATTAAAAACTCTGTTGGAACTTGGTAGGAAATATAACAGCGGGAATGAAAGTTTTTTCCCATCTTTTCTTTTTGATTTTCCCTCTTGATTTTCCCTCTTTGTTTTGCCTTCCCTCCTTTTTTTTAATATTATCATTTTAATAAATATAATAATTAAAAATTCATATTATTATTAATATAAATATAATTATTATTATTTTATTTTATTATTAATGTAAATATAACAAATAATATTATTATTTTTTATTGTTATTGTTATTATTTTCTTATCAAATTTATTTTTATTAATATTTTTAATATATAACTATATTGTTTTATTAAAATTAGGCTTACTATAATTATATTATTATTATCATTGTTATTAATATTAAGTTTACCATATGTATAACTAAAATTAACTAGACATACGACATATGTACACATGCTAATAATAAAAAAATATAAAAAATAATCAAGTTATTAATAGTTATAAGTTTATATAGTAATAATTATAATAATAAAACTATTAATAATAAATCTAATAATCATATTTATGTCACCATATAGTATAATATTATATATATATATATATATATATATATAATATTTGAAAAGTGTTTTTAATCTTAAACGGAAAGATGCATCACCCACACGGAATCACACTCCAAAGTTAATATATAATATTTATATTTTTTTCTTTTGCTTTCGTTGGAAATTTGTCGGAAAGTTCCGACGAAATTCCCACAAACTCCAAATACTTACTTCTTCCTCTTTTACCCTTCCTCTTTTCTTTTACCTAGCCTTTCTTACTTCAGTCTTATAGAAAACAAAGAATCGGCCATTCTCCCCAAACCATGGTCGGCGTCTCCCCAAATCACCTCTAGCCACCGCCGATTTTCCCCACAACACAACCGTTGCTGCGATAAACCACCATCACAGTCACTTTATGCCGGCGGTGTCTCAGTTGCAGGCGTTTCTTCCCACCGTTGCTGCATCAAACGACAATCACAGCCACTTCACGCCGGCGCTGTCTCCGTTGCCGCAGCCAATAACTTCTAGACCACCACTTGTTTCCGTCGTCGGTTAGTTCAGGTCAGTTGCTAGCTACCACCTCCGCCCCTAACCCAACTAATTTACAAATCAGAATGTATGTTTGAATCTAAGTTCGTCTTAGTGTCTATTATGTATCACCATCTTCACAATCTTATTTGTACAAATTGTTTCATCTATATGTATCAATTTGTACATATTTCTGTTTGTTTGTGCTTATTTGTGCTTGTTTGTGCTTATATGTTTCAGTATGTATGTATATGAACATATCTAGACCTGTTTCCTTTAATAATCTATAACTTTCACAATTATATATAAATCTTGTATTTACAATTTAAAAATCTTTTATTTTCACAATTATGTATGAATCCTGTGTTTATGAATCTATTTCTGTAAATGTAACTATTTTTCTATCCATTTCTGTAAAAGAAAACTAGAGTTGGAACAACATCCAATACTAGTAATTTAAAGCTTTATATAGAAAGCATTCAAACTGGAAGTAATTAAAAGCTTTAATTTATTGATGGATTAATTATTGTGATGATATGTTACATTCTAACATTTGCAATATATTAGAATTACATATCGATAATGGGGCCAAATAGAGAATGGATGTACACAATGAGAGTCGATAGTAATCAGATTTTTAATCCAGAATTTCAATTCTATGTCAAGCAATTCTTGGATTATGCATTTACCAATGTCACAGTCGTCAAATATAGAACTCTAAGAAACGGGTTAGTAGTTTCCGAAATTAGATGCCCGTGTTCAGTTTGCAAAAATTGGAATTACAAGTCGAGACAGATGGTTGAATTTGATATATGTCAAAATGGTTTCATGCCCAACTATTATCAATGGTCTGCACATGGTGAGTTATCTCTTGCATAGGGTTCAAATAACACGGACATACCTGCTTATGGTACCTCTCAGAGTCGATTTATCTCTTGCATAGGGAAAAAGTATGTCTTTAGATCACTTAAATTTACAACTAAATTTATGTTAATTTGTATGTTATATTTATACTTACTGGACTCTTTCAACATTGTAGATTTGGGAGATATGATGTGGTGCGGGCGGTTAGGCGGCTGATAGATCAATATATAGAAGGCTCTTGGATAAGTTTTAAAGAAATCCCTAAAGAAGTGATCGAACATATTTGGATTAAATTCAAGGTGTTATATTAAGTCGAGTGTTTTCAATTTTAACATGGATTAATTATTTGTATATCTTACAATCATTCGTTTTAAATTTACACTTTTAACTTATAGTTTTTCATTTTTACAGACACTTTATGATTGGGATTTTAGAGAGGATGAAAAAGTTAGGGAAAACTTTGAGTTTATCGTCCAAGATCGATACAGAGACCTCATGGGTACATTTAGGAATAGATCAGCAGATATGGCTAGAGCTGCTGGACATGATATCTCACCGGATAATAAAGACTATAATATCATGCAAAATTTTGTACCCAATGGGATGCAATCTCAGAGGTGGAAGGATTTGTGTAGGGTAAGCATGATAATACTTTTTTTTAATTGTTTATTTCTTTTCATATTATTATACATATACTACTCTTTAAAGGAATGGAACACGGATGCGTGGCTGAAAAGATCTGCAAGCGCGAAGAGTAACCGCAATACCGCTGATAGTGGTGGGAAAATAGCAAGACATACTGGGGGTAGTATTAGTTATGATGAGCACCGCATTAGATTCGTAAGTATTCATATCAAATAAATTTTAGTAATATCTTCTTCGTTTAACATAAATTACATCGTTTATACTTGTAGATAGCAAAAAAGGGACGACCACCCACATTTTTGGAGTTGTTCTTGATCACTCATCTAGATAAAACATCAAAGAAGAAATATTTTGATGGAGATGTTGAGGGAAAGCAGTTTTGCACTGAGAGAGCAAGGGAAGCTTATGTAAGATATCTTTATATATATATTTTTTTGTCCCAACTTTTATTACAATAATAGTTGTGTTTTATTTCCTTGTAGGAAGCGTACTCTCGAGCCTTGCTTGAGAAGTATGGGGATGATTTGGTTGATCACCCGATTGATGATGCTGAATTGTGGGCTAAAACCCAAAGGGAGATAAGTGGTGCTTCGAGGAGTAGTTATATCTATGGAGTTGGATCTTCAGATATAAACTCTTTGTTCAATGGGAAATCATCTGTTGGTGCGGGGTGTTCGTCGTCCTATTGTGGGTCTCAACAGGAGGTATATTTCCTTAATAAATATATTGTTTATATTATAGATAAAGAAAGTACATTACTATAATTAAACACTTTGTGAGACATGAAAACGGTCCCTAATATATTTATTTCAAAACAGCCAAGAAACTTAAACTGAGTATTATGTTGCAATTATTAATGAAAAATAAAGTATCTTGTTATTATGAAGAATGTTGTTATAATAAAGTACGTTACTATTATGAATGAAAACAGCCCATAAATAAATAATTCGTTGTTAGAATTTTGTTAAAATAAAGTGTGTTGATATTATGGATAAAAAATAAGTAAAAGACCTATATTGGTAACAATTAAAGTACATTGCTATTATGGAATAAATTTTTGGTATGTTTCTATAATGGATAAAGAATGTTGATATATTGTTTGTTTGTTAATTATATGTTTGTTTTTAGGTTAAGGAGCTACGAAACCAACTTGAAAATGTGGAGAGGGAAAGAGTTTTGATGCAACAAAAACAAGAAATGATGGAACAACAATTGGCTCAACTAATGAGACGATTTGGTAACCCTCCTGAAGACCGATGTTAGTTTTGTTTGGAATATTTTATTAAGCATGTTGGTGAAGTACAAAAATGTAATTGTTTTGGTGAAGTAGTAGATGGTAACTATCATCCGGATGAAGTATTGGTTTTGTGGATATTTAGTAATTACTATCATGTTTGAGGTATTGAATAGTAGTTACCATTTTGGATTTATATTGAATTATTTGTGTTTGTTATTATTGTGGTTTAAAGTGCATATTTGAAGAATTTGTATTTGATTTATAGTTTATTATATAATTTATGTAGAAATGGCATTATTTAGAATTTCATTAATATTGTTAATTTATAGTATTTAAAATAAAAAAACAAAAACAAAAAAAAAAACTGCAACATAATACCTACAGAAAAAAAACATCGAATTTATTTTTTCTAAAAAGGAAGTTTGTTGGAAATTTGTAGGAAAAGTTTGTAGCAATTCTGTTGGAAACAAGATATGTAGGAATTCTGTCGGAAAAAAAGCTGCCATGGGGCTAGGGAAACTTTGTTGGCATTTTGTTGGAAATTTGTTGGAGTTTCCTACGAAATATTTTGTAGGAAATGTGTCAGACTTTTTGTTGGAAGTTTGTAGGAATCTTATTTCCCACAGCCCTTTTTCCAACAACAACTTTTCGTAGGAACTTTGTAGCTAAACTTTATTTCCTACAAAATACCAACAATATTCCTTGTAGGAAACCACCCATTTTTCTAGTAGTGCTTGTGCAACTTCCAATATATCTTTGCTATTTCAACTTTTGATTCCCCCATTCAACGTGAGAACGTTTAACACTTACAAATGAACTGATAATTTTAAAAGATAACAGAATAATTTACCTTCATTAACAAACAACGAACTAACACATGCTTTGGCTTCTATTTCTCTCGAGTTTTCTAAATTAGATTTTTGTTTTGCTCTATAGAGAGGAAGAACGGTTGCATATGGGGTCGAGTCACCAGTTTTTGTACGATCTTCGACGTGATTCTCGGCTCGATTGGTAACAAACCGAACCCTCGTCGTAATCCAAATCCAGATTTCAAATATATTCAACACCTGGCAAAACAGGTCCCTCTACTTCATATTTTGACACTGTTCATCCTATAAACAAAATTTTTTATTATTACTATATAAGACAATCAGATCATTGCTTCTACGAATCAGAACGTGAACGTAAGAGGGAACCTATTCAATTAAATGATCAGAAGCAATAGTTTTGACATCAGTGCAGGGTGTACGAAAGAGGAAGCCAACCAATAAGAAAAACAAAATATATTTTCCATGCGCATTTGTATAGACATAGAGTATTACAGAATGGTTATTCCAATATTCAGTTTGTCAAACTATATTAACAAAGACAACTTGATTGATGATACCATATATAACCACCGTTGTCCTCTAAATTAAACGTAGAGTATAATAAAGTAAAGAAATGGAAAATCAAATAAAAAACCGAACCATGAATTGAAGTACCAAATATACCACATTCACCCAATCTCAGCAACATGTTTAAAAAACCATTACATTCGATAGTAATATTGTAAATATATAGTAGATATACATTATAAATGGAGTAGATATACTAGGATCCCTGAATTGTAAGTTTCCTCTCTCTCTCTCTCTCTCTCTCTCACATCAAATATATCCTTCTGTTTCTTTTCTACTACGATTTTTTTACTTACTTAAGATTGTCACATTTAAATTAATTAATTTTTATGACACTTATCAAGTTAACATCATCTAAAAATAATAAGAAGATCGGTTTGAAGAATAAAGTAGGAGAATATTTCTGCATATAATAAATATATACTTGTTCATTATTTTAATACTCGGAATTACATTCCCATAACATTAAAACTTAGCTTGTGTTTCGTATTCACTAATCACATCAGGAAATGAATGCAATAATTAAAATGTAATGAAAAAAAATCCTTACTTGGTTGGCTATTGGAAATGAAACTTGTGTTTAAGAAGGAATTGTTGGAATATCCGTGTTAACTAATTTATAAAACTCGGGTTTCCTAATTTTTTAACACGTCTAAAACCGATTTAATATAAATGGTCTGAATAGAACGTTCTCAATCTTCTTTGCTCCCTTAGATGTTTCCATATTGCTTCCGGTGTCAAAGTCGATCTTTATAAAAGCAATGTGATGGGTATCGATGTTAGCAACTTAGATATATCATTTATGGCTTGTCGGATCAATTATAGTGTTGGCCCCCTCCCTTTCTCTTATATTTAAGTGGTCGATCGGGGCCAAAATGTCTAGAAACTTGAGTTATCTACCCGTCACTGAAAATTTCCAAAAAAAAGCTCTCATTGTAAAAGGCGCATAACCTATCCTTCGGTGGTAGATTAATCATTTGTAAGAATGTGCTTGGCAGCCTTGCTGCTTACTTTTTTTTTTTTTTGCACTTTAAAGTGCCTATGGGGTGATTAAATGCCTTGAAATTATCTGTAATAAATTTATTTGGGGTGGAAGTTTCGATAACCACAAAACAACCTGGATTGCTTGGAAAAAAATGTTGCGACATGTCGCCAGTTACGAAATTAATCTATTATTCAATTTGAAAGTGGTGAAGGGTTTGTGAGTACGTTGGTCGTTTGATATGATTATCGCATGTTTTGAATGATCGCAGTACATCACCATATTTTTTCTGCATTACATGATTTTGGGAATTTGTATTCTGATAAACTATTGCTATAATACACATTTGACAGTTTGATATGATTATCGCATGTTTTGAAAGAATTTTAAAAAAAAAATTCTGTATTTTTGGGACGTTACAAGTTGGTATCAGAGCCTTGGTTTGAGGGATTTGGGCATACTCTTGGGTGTGCCTAAACTCAAATCAAGGATTTGATAGATTTTCCATAAAAAAAACATTTTAATTGAAGTATTTTAATAAAGAGAAGAGGTGTGATGCGTGCAATCAGTCGAGCCCAAGAAATTCTTCCCAAAATTCCCACATATGTTATATGTTTATGTTATGATATAATGATTGCATGCTAGATTAGGGGCTAAGGATCTGCTTAGAATTGCATGATAGAATGCTAGAAGAGATGCCTTTACGTGCCTATTTTTTATGAGCTTATAGATTCACATTTAGTCATTTGATAGGATGGCCTATAAAAGTTATGTTCTTATTTGAATTGCCTGATGCTTGAATATTGCAGGCTTTGTGCTTTAGGAAATTATGTTGGTACCAACCAACTCGTAGATGAATGCGTTGGGTTACATATTATTAAGATTGAATAATTTTAAAAGGATGAGTTTAACTCTATTACATAGCTCTTGCTTGAGTCCAACCATTGTAGTGTGTGACCTGTCATTCGAAGAATTATCTAGTACTGATAGTATGTAATTGTGTTCATGCAGTAGTTTGATAGTATTAGTGGAAGTTCCTTCTACATCTGATAGTAGAAAGGGGTGAGGAAGGAGGTCCTCGAAAATCCCTGAAAGACGTACTGGTGTGTAGGAAGCCTTATAGTATGAGGAGTGTAATAGTTGGGAAGAGCGACTTGGAGGAGTCGGGGTAGTCCTTGACGAGGGTATAAATAGGTATGAAAGATAGTATTAGACCCGTATTACTAGAAACACATGATTTATACCCGAGACCAGGAAGACCACGATGAATCTAAGGAACTCAAAAGTGTGAACCTTCCCGTGTGTTTGCTAAATGTTTATGTAGTTATGTTTCGGTACGGCGGTGACACGTCACGAGGTAGGGGTTCAGGATCTGGATCTGGTTTGGGCACAAGTACCGAACCGATTGATGAGAGGCTACATGAGTTTATTGCATCAGGGTTTACCAAAGGCATCCTTGATGTGACCCTGGTGATGTTTAGGTCGATTAAGGATGGGTATCATCGAGCTAATGGAGGATCGCCATCGGATCTTCATGGTCAATATGGTTGCTAGCTTGTCTGCAGCCCAAACTCTCTCCATCAAGGATTTTAGGGGATGTAAGGCACCAAAATTCTTTGGGGTTGTTAGGTGCATTTCATGCATCCATTTTGTAGTTTTACTCGATAAAAGTGCATTGCATATAGGCTTAAACTCATGCATTATGCATCTTTTTCGGGATTTTTCATGAGGCAATTTCATTCACACACTTTTGTGATATTTCAGGGAATTTTGGAGGTAAGAACTTACTTGAGGAGATAAATAAGAGATTTAGATGAAGTTTCGAGACTTGTGGAGCACCGAGGAGAAAGATATCAAAGAAATCAAGATTTTGGCTTTACAAAGATTTACACAGCCATGTAAATGGAAGCCTTATGTTTACACGGGCCGCATAAACGAAGACTCTTAAAAATTGTATTTCGAAGGCCTAACCAAATTACGCAGTGTATTTTTGTATTTACACTGACCATGTAAATGGCAGTGTTAATTTACACGGTCCGTGTAAACGTGGTCGTAAGTTTAAAGCAGTTTTTATTCTTTCTAAAAAGGTGAAACCGGTTCCATTAGAAAAAAGTCGATTTTAGGAGTTCTGGAGGCGATTTTCTAGAGGATTTGGAAGACAATTAATACTTGGAAACACTTGGATTTTGTTCGGATTTCAATTTGTAAGACTTTAATTTCAATTTCTAGGTGTGTGCTTTGTTCTAGTCATGTGTGGCTTGAAACCTAAACTCTCCAACTTTATGGCTTGAATTTAATTTATTTAATCAATTGCTTATTTGATTCATTGCATATAAACCCCACTCTTATGTGATCCCATTTGTATCTTACACAAAAATGGTATAAGCATTTGTCTTGTGTCTCTATGGATCGATCCTACTTACCTTGTATTACATTTTAGTGCAACGTAGTAGTGTTTTTGGAGTCATTTATACCCCTTTATTTGTTGGGTTTGACACTCCTAACAAATTGGAGTCATTGTCAGGGATACGGTGCTACTAATTGTTTATGCCTAGATCTTTCCATACAGGTACACCACTGCCAATTGATTCGGAGACAGAGAAGACTGCAAAGAAGTTAGGGAAGCAAGCCAAGCTTCGTAAGAAGCAACAGGGTGCTGGGACTTCTTCATCATCTACCCCTCCGGTTGTAAACATTTGGGAGGATATACCCCTCTCAAGTGTATCTGAATCTAAAATAGACACTCCATCACTGTCACCTTAACCATCCTCACCCACTTATAACAATCCAAACTTTACATCCACGCAAACTTCAACCACTAATCATACCATGGGAGACAATCATGGAGGAAACCAAAATCCCCCAAATCCACCACCTGA